AGTTAAAGGTGACTTTGACCATACTTATTTGTTAAAATTTTAGAAACGAGGAATTAAAATAAAAAAATGTTACATTTAGAGGGATTAAAAACATATTTGTCTCAACTAAAAAAAACATATTTAAACCAGTCTCCATCTTCAAACCCATTTAAACTCTAATTACTTGATTGACATTATTAGAAATATTTAGTGTTTCAATATTGGGTGATATTTTTCTTAAGTTACAATACACTCACATATAATTGTGGGCCCATCGAGAGAGAAAAAAAACAAAATGGTAGCTTAATTATCAATGTGATTATGTGAGTGTAGAAGAATATTTCTCTCTTATATAACTTCATAAAAATATTACCCTTGAATATCTTCGTAGGATCTTTTATTTTCATATCTTGGGAACATTTTGAATTAATTATTAGAATCTTTAATTTTCTAATGCTTGAAAATTTCGAAATTCAATTATATGAATCCAGTTCATAATTAATTGTTTACGTAAATAAATGATATTTTTATGATCCACTTAAAGCTAAGTCTAAAATCAAAATAATAACAATTCATAAAGAAAGTCATGGATATTTCTACTGTATATAAGAATAGTGATTTAGCATATTTAAATACACTTGAATTGCCTTATGAGAAGAAAAAAGCTCCAACTATTTTACACGAAGACAATGCTGCACAATTAAATGATATAAAACAAATAACATAAATCCAAAACTCTTTTCACCCATAATCTTTTCAAAAAATAAGGAGAAGGAGAAATTGATGTCTAATATGTTCATACAAATGGCAACTTTATAAATTTATTTATGAAGGCATTGCATACTTTGTTATTCAAGAAGTTAAATTTTAAAAAATTCAAAAATATATATTAAGTTAACTAAGAGATATTCAATATAAAGGGAAAATTTCACCACACACCTTCCAATTACAAAGGAGCAATCTTATTATTATTCTAAGATTTTTTCTCTTAAATTAAATACCTTAATTATGATAAGGCCAAAATTTTGCTTTTTTTCTTATTTAATGTAAACATTTTCTTGATGAATTTTTAATGAAACAAATCTCATATGACGGATATTGCATTCTTTTTCTTTATTATTAATTTTTTTTCCTAACAGGTTTTATAAAAAAGTTTGGAATTAGAATATTCTTAACTTACACCTAAGTAAAAAAAGTTACAAATATTATTTAGAAGCAGATGTCTAGAAACTATTATCTGATGTCAATTTAGTTTAGATTATATTATAATTTTTTTGAATGCCTAATGTACGTAAATACATGCCTTCAAAGGATGATACATTACAGTATTTGTATGCTATTATGTTCTCTGTAACTAAGTAATTATGTTTTTTATATATACTTAAATATATGTGGGGTGCAGAGTCATGTGGAAAAAATAAATATATATATATTTATATAAAAAATAAAATTATTTTATATATTATAAGAAATATTAATCTCTTATTTTATAAGGTAAAAATTCTTTTATTTTTTATTTTTTTGGTTTCTTATTAATTTTTTTTATACACTTAAATTTTTCTTAAATATTTTGATAAGTCAGCCTTAGCTCCTTGGAATTTGTTAGATTAACATTCATCTGAAAGCATGCACAGATTTTAAGACGTCGTCTTCTGACATGAAGTGTGAGTTCACTGTTTCAACTTGTGATCACATCCACCATAACACAATTACATCCTCCAATCAAGTTCAACTGATCCAAACGATTATGAGTCCCGCAATGTGAAAAACATTTGGGCCCCGCACGAAGCTTCCCGATCCACAGGATTAGCTGGCCTGCAGTAATGACAATATTTGTACAACATACTATAGTACACATCACGTGGCGTATTTTCTAAGACCTTTTTTAATTTTAATTTCATCCATTTTTTTTTTAATTTCAACTTTTGTTATTAAACGAGGATAATTCAGTTGGTATCACGTGAGGATAAGAGCATATATCGGATCATTTTTAGTATTGTTTTTTGGAGGAGTTTAAAGCCTTGAATCTGAAACACATCTAAATCAAATTAGGCCCAAAAAGGTGAACTTATCAAAATATCTATAAAAAAAAATGTTTGGCTTGTCTGCATTTTAACATATTAATAGAGCTTTTTACAAAAAATAACTTTTATCTCTTCCTTAATTTAAAAGTATTTTTTTTAAAAGTTAAAGCTATTTATATTTTTATAAAAATATTTAGTTTTTGAAAAAAAAATTGACTTTTGACTTTTGTTTTTTTTAGAAGTTAAAATTTTTAATATTTGAAAAAGTAGATTTTTGATATTTTTGTGACTTATATTTTTTTTAAAAGCAACATTCAAACACAATAAAAATGAGAAGTGTTTTTTTAAGGAAAAAAAACAGTTTTTGTGAAAAAAAACCTATCCAAACAAGTCCTAAATGAATAAAAAAAGTGGCACGTTTTATTTGGCAAATTTTTATATTTTGTTTTTAGTGAAGAAAGAATGTTTGGTTGAAGGTTTATTTTAGGATTGATGGAAAAGTGTAGGTGGATATTGAAAAATATCACGTTTGGTTCATGTTTTTTCAAGAAATACCAGGCAAATAGGATAGATGAGAAAATGAATTTTGTGTTGATTTTTGGATGAAATTTACTGTTACAGAATACCACTTGAGATGTGGTATTTTGAGATGACTGGAGAAGTGAAAAAATAGGTGCAAAATTTCTCTCGAACATAGATTTTGCATATTTAAATAAATTTTCCTGGTAATATTTGGGTCAACCAAACAACTTTTTTTACATTTTTCTATCAAACTCACTTTCCAACCATTTTCCTATCAATTACATTTCTCTAGTAAAAAAAAATTTCTCCCTAACCAAACACTACCTTACACTTTAAGGAATGAACAGAAAATTATTGGAATAGACAAAATTAGCAGAAATCAAAGAAGTAATCTCCTTCAATGAACTAGAGAAAAATAATAATTGGGCTCCTAATTTTTAATTTGTTTCCCTTCATCTCATGCTCATGCATGTGAAAAATGAAATGAAGTAATTATTTATTTTAATTATAAAATGGAAAATGTTATATTTACCACTCAAATACTTTATAAACTCTTATAACTATATATTAACTGTTGATTTCCGTCAATCAACATTTGTCATTTATTGTGAACTAATAATTAATTAATAAATTTGATTTGTGAAAATCTTAATCGTTGATTGACGGAAATCATCGTTTAGGATATAGTTGCAAGAAGTTGTAAACGAAAATAGGTGGTAAATATATCATTTTTCTTATAAAATATACAAAAACGAAAAAGAAGGAATTTTAATAAAAGTTATTTTTAAGTGCTTCTGTTATCTTCACCTTTTTTAGTTATTTTCTCTTCAATCAAATAAGTTAAAATTTAAATACAAAAAATAAAGAAATTTTAATAAAGAATATAAAATTTCATAATTTCATATTTTTCTTTCCTATTTTTAAAAATCTAAACATAAAATAACAGTGAGTCACTAATAAAAGAGCTTGGGTTTCGTAACAAATTTTATAAATTCAAACTTTTGTACAGTCAATTATAAAAAGGATTTATATTGAATTAAAATATTGAGTAAATAGATACCAAAAAAAGAGAGAGTAAATAATTACTTGACTTGTTCAAATTGAATGCTTAATTATATTTTAAGAACAACGTACTCAATAAAATCTATTTTTTAAACCAAAATCCATTTATTTTTAATATAGCCAACCCTAGAAGACTTCGTCATTTACGGAAAACATGTTGTTTATGATAAAATGTTAAAAATAAATATGGTATAAAATTTTATTTACTGGATAATCATTGGTCAAAAAATAAATTCCACTTGAGTCGGATCCGTCACCTACCCGGACCAACGTGCAATTAATTAATTTATTAACTAGCATTTAATTGAAAAAATATATAAACTGAATTATCAATTTATTTAAACTCAACGACACTATCTTTCTCAAATGGATTACAAAATATATGTAAATTTTTGTTAAGTAAAAATAAAAATTAATTAAATAAAATAATGCAATTTTGTATAAAAATAAAATAAAATAATGCAATTTAATGTATAACCGTACAAGTGTGTGCGAGAAGCATGCAAATTCAGCCATTCAGTAAGCGCAAGTGCGCAACTATATTTTTTACAGTGGATGATAGCCATAAAAGGAAATTGTGATAAAAAAAACAAAATATTACAATAAATAATTATAAAATTATAATCATTGATTTATTTTTATATAATTATGATTTTTTTATATCATACCATGTTTTTTTTTAAGACTAGAATATTTATAGTTTTATACACAGTTACACGGAACAGTGATCATTTTGTCAATATTAGCAAAATAAAATACTAAAATGTCACGTCAACAGTGAATTTTGTCAAAATGCCACGTGACATATTTTGTTACACTGTATAGCAAAATATGTGTCCAAATAATTCGCTACATGGTGAAGCAAAATATGTCACGTCAAAATCAAAATGCCACGTGTCAAACATTGTAGCGAAATTCTCCCTATCTGACACGTGGCATTTTTGGTTCTGTGCATTCTGACGTGCATATTTCGTTACACTGTGTAGCGAATTTGCACACATATTTCACTACACAGCGTAGCATTTTGGTTTTTTTTTTTTGCCAACGATAACACCTTGGTCAGTGTTCCAAGTTACACAATCCCTAGGTTTCACAATTATATATAAAAAAAAAAGTTCGGTGTTTGTCATTTTAAATGACATAAGTTATGTCATTTTAGGAGAGAGACAGATACAGAAAATTTGAATTTTAAATTAAAAAAAACCACCCACTTTCTCTCTACTATAATTAAAAAAAACCATTCACTATCTCGCTCACATAATTTCTATTTTTCTATGTCTATCTCTCTCCTAAGATGACATAAGTTTGTGTCATTTAAAATGAGCAACACTTCTCACAAAAAATAAATCAGAAAAACGTGGACTCAACGGTCCCTTAATTCTTCGAACTCTGCACTCTCTAACATAAAAAATACTCTGTTTCTCTCTCTCTCTCTCTCTCTCTCTCTCTCTCACTCACTCTCTCACTGCAATGTAGGTCGCCGGAGAATGGCAAACTGTCACCGGAACAACGTCGGATCTCTCGTACTCGACAACCACCACACTACCAAGACCACCACCGTTGGCAGTCACTTCCGCATATGGAACTCTCTGTCCGCCGCCACCATTCGCCGCATCATTTTCGACTCCGTCAGCTGCGGTGCCAGCTCCCGTTACAACCACCGTCGCCGCGACGCTGACGAATTCGCCTCTGCCTCCTCGACGGCGAGATCGGACTCTTTCTCCTCCGACGAGAAGCGTCAACAACAGCAGCAGAAACACGAGCATAGGTCGAGGCAGAATGCGGGGTCGGAGAAGCTATCGGATCTCCTGAACATGGCGGAGTTTGAAGCGGAAGCGGAAACGAAGAAGAAGGAGGAGGCGCTGGAGGAGCTGAAGCAGCTGGTGAAGGAGTTGCAGCAGGGAGAGGATTTGGCGAAGCGGCGAGCGGCTGCGGCCACCGTGAGGCTTCTCGCTAAGGAGGATTTGGAAGTTAGAGGAACGCTCGCAATGCTTGGAGCGATTCCTCCTCTCGTCGCAATGCTCGATTCCGAAGACATTGATTCTCATATCGCTTCGCTCTATGCGTTGCTCAATCTCGGAATCGGAAATGATGCGTGGGTTTCTTCGTCTTCTATTTCCATCACTTCAGATCTTTTTTTTTTTTTTTTTTTTTAACACTCGTGTTTTGATTGAATTGTTTTGTGTTATTTTCTATTAACATTCTTTCTTTCTTTTTTGTTAGGTTATTCTTTAATGATTGACATGTCGTCTTCCAGAATCCGCTTCGCATATTATGATTTTATTATTCTTTCTTTTGTGGCTAATTTTTATTTTTTTTCTGTCGTTTTCGCGCATTACTTCGTTGATTATTCTCTGGTCATTTAATCGTTTAAATGGCAAGCTTATGATTTTAATTTCGTTCATTTTATAGCTTTGTGTTTTTTTGCTGTTCTGTTTTAGAATTCCACTTTGCATGTATCAAGTTTTTTTTTTCCTGGTTAATTTTCACTTCTACACAGCTTTTCATCGTTTTTTTTTTTTTTTTTTTTTTTTTTTTTTTTTGTACATCTATGACAATGACTTATTCTGATTTACCATAAAAAATTGATCTTTCTTTTTTGGTTCATTTTTACAGTAATAAAGCAGCCATTGTCAAAGTTGGCTCTGTTCACAAGATGCTCGAGCTCATTGAATCTCCAGATGGTTTAGATTCGTCGGTCTCTGAAGCAGTTGTTGCAAATTTCCTTGGATTAAGTGCTTTGGATTCGAACAAGCCAATAATTGGATCATCGGCTGCTATTCCATTCCTTGTTAGTACCCTTCTGAGTTTAGATAATAAAAGTAGCCCCCAAGCCCAGCAAGATGCTCTCCGAGCACTGTACAATCTTTCAATTTTCCCAGCCAATATTCCATTCATTTTGGAAACCGATTTGGTCCCATTCCTGATAAACTTAATAGGAGACATGGAAGTAACTGAAAGAACCCTCTCAATCCTTAGCAATTTGGTATCAATTCGAGAGGGTAGAAAAGCTATCAGTGCTGTCCCTGATGCTTTCCCTATCCTGGTGGATGTATTGAATTGGACAGATTCACCACAATGCCAGGAAAAGACATCTTACATTTTGATGGTCATGGCACACAAATCCTATGGTGACAAGCAGGCCATGATAGAGGCAGGGATTATGTCATCACTGCTTGAGTTGTCGCTTCTGGGTACCACATTGGCTCAGAAAAGGGCCTCGAGGATATTGGAATGTTTGAGGACAGACAAAGGGAAGCAGGTTTCTGGGAGCTATGCAACTGTTTCTGCTCCTATTTGTGGCTCTTCATCATCTTGTCCAAAGCCAGATGGAGGAGGAAAAGAGTGTTTGGAGGAGGAGGAAGAAATGATGAGTGAAGAGAAGAAAGCAGTGAAGCAATTAGTCCAGCAGAGTTTGCAAAACAACATGAGGAAAATTGTAAAGAGGGCCAACTTGCCTCAAGATATAGTTCCATCCGATCATTTTAAGTCACTCACTTCAAGTTCGACTTCAAAGAGCCTGCCATTTTGAATAATTGCTGATGTGAAGAGAGTCGAAGTTGAACAGAATAAACCATGTAGTCTTTCTTCACATTATAATGTTATTGTGCTTTTAGGCTTATAGCTATTTGCTAGACTGCTAAAGTAGCCATTGCTTGTCAAAATCTTAATAGATAATTATGAAATTTTTTCAAGTTTAAGTTTCTTTAAGGTTGAATCCTTTCTGGTTTCTTTGGGTGTGTTCTTGAGAGCAGATTTTGCTTCTTTGCCTTGAGTAAGCCCACTGTTTCTAAACTGAAAATGAGAGATCCCAAGATCCAAGCTATAGAAATGGACAATCATAACGGCACTATGTGAGTTGAGTGTCTTGTATGATCATTATGTAGGGATGCCTCCCAATCAGGGGGGTATGACATGGAAAATTCGATTATCTTAGGGTTTCTTCAGTCAAACCATCCTTACGAGCGTCCCTACATTCAAGGAGTCACTTTCAAACCATAGTACGCTTTTGTCTCCCTGTTGGCCCTACTATATGACTTATTATATATAATCCAATTGAAGCTAATGTGGAAAGGGTTGTCGGTCATTTTCATCTTTTATATAAACAACAGGGACTATTCATTGCAGTTTTCTATTAGAGAATCTTTCCCCTGTTGGTTTGTCAATTCCATGTGTTGGGTTTTCAGGAATCTTTGGATTATGAGTTGAATGTTTTTTGTTATTTCATTTGCAGAGAGATTTCTTAGCTGTTAACCTCTATAGTTAAAGCATTCATTAATTACTGTCTGTGTTTGTTTAATGCCACTTGAACTAGTTAACTGAATTGTTTTTCTTTTAACTAGTCGCAGATCCAAATGGCATGGAAGGATTACAACTTAGATCTGGTTGGGGTGGAGAGCTGAGCTGTACGTCGCAAATTAGTATCAAGGGCATTTTGTCTCCACTATGTAAATGTCCCTTATGGGGTACAGTCATTTATAATGTTATCTTCTGCTGCTTGCTTTAATTTTGTTGACTTTTAGTGTAAATATTCTAATGTTGAAGTAGTTTTGATTTTAAAACTTAATTAGTTCACTCTTCCATCATGTGCCAATTAAGTGTCGTTTTTTTCATTTATTTTCTTTGTTTCGCCTGATAATGAGGTTCCCAAAGTTATTTGTTGTGTTCAAAAGCGGCGATCAGTTATTGGTTGGAGCTACAGTATTTTTCCTGCTTGGACGGCAAGGAAGTTGAGATCTTGGAGCACCGACAATGATATGTCCATTAATTCATACAAATGGATGGTACATGTTAGATGAATTAATTGCATATCCATTTTCTGAACTTGTGTTTATTTCAGCTTATCAATAGTACAATTGTACCCATTCAACTTTCCAACCCTAGTTATTTTCCATAATAATAATAATAATAAAATGAGATGCTATTTTTCTAGAAGCTCCATACGATTGCATTTGCATTGAGTAATGGTGACGCCCGCTCTAGCTTCTTACCAAAACCCCCACAAATTGACAAAGGTAATCTCCATTGTCAAATTGGACAACATACCCTTCTTTGACAACATTATGCTCACTGAACAACAGGTGTAGCCAAGTATAGTGCTGTGTAACTAGCCAATTGATCTTGCGTATAAACGTAGAGTCGTGCATACGTGATTATGACATTAGCAGTGCAGCCTCATGAGTGACGAAAGTGATTGTGGATTAAGGTTCCGAAGTGGGGGATCGAGGATTTCTCACATGGTACGAAACTACTCTTCACGGGGTATATTGAGGTTGTTCTTTCATATAAATGCTTTTCAGTTCAAACTTATTACACTGTAGAGACCATTCAACGACCGAGTTCAAACTTACTTATTACTTGAGTTATTCCTTATGATGACTAGTTTTGTATTGCGCGTCATAGAAGTAAATGTCAAATAGTGGTAGCTGATGCAAAGTTAGTTAGATACATGTATGTAGAAGAAATGGTTGGACGAGTTCAGCCAGCCAACGCGTGAGCCTTTTTGTGGGCAAATGTAACGTGTTGGCTACTTATCATCTAAAGATCTTTAAGTTAGAGCACATAACCTGCTGAGTGGGGAAAGCAACACTTGTTGCTTCAATAATTTTTCTGGTTAATTCTGAGTAGTTATTAGCAAAATTTCAGGTCTATATAATTGAAATGCTGATGTTTTGGCCGCCATTTCATTATGAATTCTTCTACTCATTTCACTATTAGGGGAACTTGGGCTTCCAACAACCGCACTAACCAAATTAAAATTGGTATGCATAAGGACCCTGCACTGCACTCACCTGATTTAACATTTTAAGTTCTCTATTTGCTTCCAAGAACTGTCCCAATTACTGCTATTATCTTAATGATTTAAAACTATATGATTTCTTGAAAATGTTGAACTATACGGGTCAATTTTATTTTATTTTTGGCTAATTTCCCTAACTTTCTCTGACTTCAAGGCAAAATGTTAATATATGATATCAGATATTCATAGTTGCACATGATTACTCTTTTTTCTCTTTTGGTAAAGTGGAAATTCGTTAAATGCATATGATTGCACTTTACATTTACAAATGTTGTAAACATTAACAAATAAGAAGCAAAAGAAGAGAATCAAGGTAAAGACAATTGTGGGAGATAATCAGTGATTATAATAAAGGTGATTCTGAGTATCTTACGGTAGATTGGGCAATAAAATTTTGCTAGTCGAGTAAAAAGACCTGCAAAGGCAAAAGAAAGGGCGCGCCTTTAATAGAAAAGGTTTGATGAGGGTTATCGCTACCACATTCCTTAATAAATTTTGCAGCTATGTAGACCCAACATCAGAGGAGTGGCATAACTTTTGCTTTATCGATTCAGAAAAACTGTCCCTACAGCTAGGGAAGTACAAACCTACCCTTCAATTATGTTACATTTTACCCAAATATAAGAAGCATCACTATTTCGGTACCTCGAAGTTATGTAGAGGAAGTTCTACTTTTTCGCTATCGTGGAATTTATATAGTCAAATCAAGAAAATAAATAAATAAATAAATAAATAAATATTCCACATTAAATCTCAAGGAAAGAGAATAAAACTGAGGGTAAAAAAACTGTTACCTTATAAAAGAATAATTTTACCACTAATTCACCCTCTTTAGTCAAAACAAAAAAATGTATGACAAAAAATGTTGTTAGATATCACTCTCCATAGAAAACATTTTGGCGCTTAGACGGTGAAGAGTGATTGCCAGTGCAAAAGAAATAAGACATGGATAAGGAGCGACTCTTTGAAGGTTTTTAGCTGGAGAGATATATGAATTAATCGAATCAATATCTAAATGATAGATATTCAGAGAGACTGTACAAATATCGGACAAAGATATACATCTACTTTTCAATAGTCCATAATTTAGGAACTCCGTAAAAAACTTGTTTGACTTCAAGCAATTTTGAAATGAGTGATCTGTTGAGAAATGAAATTTTTCCAGGAAGAATGAGCGTACAACATAAATCAAACCCGTGCAGATATCAGCGACTAATCGATGTGCAGCTAGCAACACATATGATCTTTGTCATTGACACCTTCGTATATGCCTTTGCTACATACCGTCCATATATATTTGGACACATTCACCATGACCATTATTAACTCGGCATAATTTTCAGGGTGCAGGCCAGGACACAATGCTACGAAGTTATTATAATTAAAAAGGAGTAGCTGAAGTTAAACTACATGTCGGTGCCAATCATTGTAGGAGCAGTTTGATGTGCCTGTCCTACTGCTAAAAAACAAAATAATATGGCAAACTTTTGCAAAAAAAAAAAAAAGAAATGGCAAAAGAAATAATTTGATGTAATGGTGGTCTGAAAGTTTTTGAAATTAACCATGCATGCATGAATATATCTATGCTAATTGCTAAAATGACAACAACCTATATAGATATAAACATTAAATAACCCGTAATGTTTGGTGTTTGCATTAAATACATCCGACAAATTTCCTTTCTGCCCAACCAAGACTTGCACGGTTGAAAACATCGCGTTCTATTTCTTAGTATTAATATTATTTTATTTTAATTTCTTCCCAGTTGATGATTACTTTATTAATTTGGTTCGAGTACGAGAGGATTATAAAAATGACAAAGATTTCCTTATCAAAATTTTAACACAACTGCAGAACTCAAACTCAACACTACTGATTAAGATGAAAAAATCCATGCCAATTGATCCACATGTTGGCATAATATCGACACAACGCTGAACAAAATCTATCATCAAGATTCGCAACACTGAAGTGTGAATGAGAAAGCCACCTAACCATAAAAGCACAATTTTCCTCACCTGATAATGAACCATAATTCCATTTAAAGGACTTGAAACGTTATCTCTATATCTCATAAGCACAATAGTCGAATTTTTCTCCTCCGTGAAGGGGACCATTGGCTCATAAGAATTTTTTTCTTCTCATTTGACTTTCTAGATTTCCTAAGTCTATTCTCTGTATACTGGAGTAATATTCTGAGAATCCACTATGCTGCCATAAACGTTACTAGGACTTGACCACGCTTTTGAGTTTTGACATTAGATTTCTGCGTCTATCAAGGCATTTTCTTCCAACTCATCTCATGACAGAACTTTATCTTTTGGCACAATTACTAAGAGATTGGAACTTGATCTTCTTAAACTATTCAAACTTTTCACAACTAATTAATTGTTATTGGATAACAGAAAAAGAAGAAAAAAGAAAGAAAAGTGTTTTTCGCATAATCTCTGCCAAGAAATGTTACTCACAATATTAATTAGAGTCATACTGTCACATCAAAGGAGTTGGTTAAAATGATATATGCTTGATTTTGGTAAAATAAAATCTTAGGTTCAAGTGCGTAATTATAATTAAAGTCATGATCATTGACCAGTAAGATAGAAATAATCAGTAAACGAATATAAACTTGATGCTAACTTTACGGAAATTATCAAGACAATCTCATTTATTATAGGATTGTTCTTATGATTTAATAACATAAAAATGGGCAATGCAACCCTACCGAGACCAATTGATTGAACAGTAAAAAAACAATGGGGCAAAAAGGGCACCAAAGTGATGAGATATATTCCACTCCGAAAGCACTTCTGATAAAGAAGGGATGGTGCCAACTTCTCACCGCAGTGCACCATCGAAGGAAGAGTGTTGTGTTAACAAAAAGAGTATTTTAGCTTGCTTTTCAAAAGGCTGAGGTCAAATTCGAAAGTAAAGGGCAATGATTGAAAATTTAATTTTGTTTATAATGAAAAAAAGAATATTGACAGTGAAATTTTTAACTTAATACGTGTCAGATCAAATTGTATCATTACTTAAAAAAATTTACGAGTCACAGTTGTGTCTTTTAGTTGAGTCTCGATTATATGTTCCACTTTCTTTTAATACATGCTTAGAACATCATGATAAAAAAAATTAGATATTACACTTAAATCTTGATTTTTCATTATTAAAAAATCTCGATGCAATTTTTTTCAATTTTAGCAGTCAAACATAAGTATGAATAAGAACTCATGCAATGAAATGATTTCAACCATTAAGAGTATGTATTTCAAAGCATAGCACTGAACAAATTATTTGGGAGAGCTAAGTAGGTGTTTAGTTTATTTTCTACTTTTATTTTTCAATTAATATATTTTTCCTAATAAATAAAAAGTCACTTTTTTTTCGGTTTCATGTTTTCAATATTTTATAAGTTTTCACTATATTCTTCACAAAATATTTAAAATAAATAAAAATGAAAGTAATATTATTTTTACAATTATCATACAGTGTGTGAGCTAAATTTGGAAATGATAACAGAAAACAATAAAAACACCCTCTGAATAGAGTAAGTAAAGATCTTGCATGTCATCAAATTTGGATTCTCTGAAAATTTAGCTCATATGCCGAGATGAAAAAGAAAAATATTGTAAATCATTTTGACAAAGCTGAATGTGATGTAGTATAATTAAACTTCTTTTTCACTTGAAAAAGGTGGTTTGATCATGGCTGTCAATTCTTCCTTCTTAGTCCTCCCAGATGAGTTATCAATTAGCAAATTTGGCATAAAGAAAACAAAATGGTACATCAATTAATTTCTTGGCTGGGGGGAGGGGCTGCACTTACTGCACTTACTGCATAAGAAAGTGAACCTACGAGTCAATGACAGAAGATTACTATCATGATATCATTCTAAAAATGCTCAGGTATTCTTTCACTCTTCTATATCTATCAATCTATAATCAGAACAGGTGCCAGCCACCCAAAATTCCAAAATGCATGTTAATTCGTTTGTATATAGTATTGATCCTAATCAACTTTATTTGCTTCCAGTAACTGGAAGGTAGACGCCTTCTGCTGCCAGCCAGACATTGTCAGCACGCTTTTCAAGAACACCACAAACCTAGTAAAATAAAGCAAATGACAAAAGTGATAATCCACTACCAACATTTTAAAGCTTAGTAGAGAAATATCAGTTACATATTTTCTTCTGAAAATTCGTTAAACTGGATATAAAGTAGCAGGATCACTACAGAAATAGACCTCCAACACTGTTCGCACTTTACAAGTCAAAGCTAACTTCACAATAGTAAAGCGAAATCATCTGCAGAATATTTTCAATGCTTTGCTACTGTAATCTACACTTAAGCACCTATCATTGCACTCAACACCACATTTAAATAAATGAGGAAATCAAGACTTGTATGGGTATAGTAACTGAAGCAGTAACCAACCAAAATTTTCCATAGAATAAAATATTATTTTGGATATCTGTAATTCAATCAATTATTGATTAAACAAGGCTTTCAGATTCTAGATCCTTTCTTACCTCCTGGTGCCCCCCAGGAATCCCAGTGTATTTCTTATCATGACTATGTAGATAGCCTTTGGTGTCCACATGTTGAAGCCGAATCCTCTGATCTTGTTTCCAAGTCTTCCCACTTCCTTCTAATTGAAGTCTAAAGAAAAAAAGAAACAATTATGAATCACCTTACGGAATATGCTCAAAAATAAATGTTCATGTCTTACTCTTACCTCCAATAGTCTGCGGTGTCAGATTCAGAATCTCCTCCAAAGCAACTCACCTAAGTTAAATTCAAATTGATAAACTCCAATTATTATAATGAGTCGAAAAGGACTATACTTGAATCAAAATTTTAATATTTATAATGACCTCATTCAAATATCAAGGATCATAAAAAGATGTCCAGGTTTACTCAAAGCACCTTTCTATTCATGTTCTATAGTTCAATAATGTATCATCATAATTTTCTTGCATCAGCCTTTTGGAGGGTGAAGGACACACAATGAAATATGTTGTTAGTGGTGGCAAATTACAATACTACTGATTTATATATAGTACAAAACCAAAATCCAGGGTTGCATGAGTTAGATCTACATCAAAATGTTCCTGCAAGTCGTTTCCATTCGGCCACTGCAAAGGATAGGTCGAATAATTCCATAGCAAACTATTAAGATTGGATCAGATAATAACAAAAAAAGAAAGGAAACAAGGCATTTTGGCCCAAATAAATCTGGATTTTCTGTATTAATATAAGAAACATATTACATCTATGATTACGAAGAAGGGAAATTACTGAGCAACTATTACAGCAAGTAGCTACAGATTACAGAAAAAGAAGAAGAACTAGGAATAACAGAAACGCAACACATTCGAGAGGTGCAGCTCTCTCCCAAGTCTAGTCCCAAATCCAACCTCCTCCTCACACCCATTCGCCCTCCTTTATAACTAAGTAAGCTGACCCCTCCACCTCAACATTTTGCAATATCTCTCCTCTAACTGAATTCTCAACAACAACAACATTGCTACTCTCTAGAATATTCTCTCCACCAGCCACATCATCCTTGGTGGATAATCCTCTATAACACTTTCTATAATATGCCTTGAGAGGGATCTTATCACAAACATTCAAATAATATTATAAGAGTTAAAACTTAAAAACAAAGAAATCTAAGTACAAATTGTAGAGAGAATCTTTAAAACACACGGTTTTTAGATTATTAAGTGAGACTGATGCCACATTAAAGCATCAAATTAGCAAGAGCAAGAGAAGAGACAGTGGGATGATTAATGGGGAAAATATGTATAAAAACTCTGACTATATAAGGAAAATTGCGAAGAAAGAGTTTTATTCCCGGGCAAATTGTGCCATGGCACAAGTGAAAGTATTTGGAGAAAATATCCAATCTCAGATATTGACTAATAAGTGCAAAAGGATGAGTGGTATGCAATCAATGGTGGAGCCAGGGAAGGGTTAGGAGGGGCAATCATTCCCTCAATTTCATTAAATCTTTGTCTTAAACTACATTCAGACTTAAATGAAAGGCAGTATAGCATAAGTTCGCCACCCTTCGTCCTTATTATTTCTCGTGTATGAAGAAAACCTGTAGAGTTCTTTAAATCTGACTACTTATCGATCCACTATCGTGTTTTCGCGCCTTAGTGTGAATTTTGTTTTCCTCGCCCTTTCTCACAAAATTTCCTGACTCCACCATTGTATGCAATATGTATCAAATGAAAAGGTAGCAAATGCAGAGTCCTTATAATCTCATACATTGAATGAGGCAAATATGACACAACTATAGCTCATTAAGATCGTTACTTAATCCATCTGGAAGAGTTAATGACATCACCAAAACACCAACAAATCCTAAAGCAGATAGCAATAATAACAAAAAATTCGAAACGTCCACTAACCTCAAGATTGCCAGTTATTGGTGATGAATGCAAGTGGCTGTGCAGCCACTTCCTTGTGGTCATGTGCTGCAATCTAATGATTGTTCCACTTTCAATGGTATCACCTTGTTTAGCTGAAGTTCCGATCTGAGGTCTAACAATCTGCAACAGAAATCTCAATGCTAAGCGTCGTTTATATATAATCATCCAATGAATAGTTAAGAATGAAAGAAAGGAAGTTACGGACCCAGTAACTATTGGAATCATCGACACTGGGGAGAGCAGTAACAGATTGTTGTCCACTCCCAGAACCATACGGCACATCATGAGAATGCAAACGCGATTTCGTTTTTTCATGCATAAGCTTCAGAACCGTCCCATAGGTAATCTGCACCAAAATAAATAATCAATTAGTCCTGAAATATGAAGATTATCACGACGCCCTATATACGGCGTCGTTTTGAAAGGACTTGGTTGGTAATTTTCATATTTACGAACCTGGAGGGGTTCGGAAGAAGGAGGAGATGCGGTGGAAATGGAAGAAGGGAAAAGGAAAAGAGCGAAGAAGGCAAAGAACAATGCCATGAACCACGATGGTGTAATGGGATCCGGGTCGACCCGGTTGTTGGCGTAGAAGGAGAAGAAGGAGAGAACTGAGAAGCTATGTGAGAACTGTTCGACCCGACTTGGTATACAGATCGGAACCTAAAGAGAGAGAATGAACGCTATGTGGAAAGAGGAGACGGGTTCGCCAAATAAGGAGTCAAAACGTGGCAATGTGAATGACGTGGAATCAGAAATTGCATGAAATATTATTTTGGGAGCGTTCGGTACGCGGAATTTTGAGGGATTCCCGAGAAACTGAATTTTTCTAAATTTTAAATTTTTGGATATTATCGTAAACTGAATGCAAAAATCATATTTTTGAAAATCGAGATTCCCGGACAAATAAAAATTTCTCTTGTACCAAACGTCCCTTTAGAGGAAAAATATTTCAGCAATATTTCTTGCTGAACTATTTTTCTTATGTCGTAGGAAAAAATAATATTTCATATTATAGAAATAAAATTATAAGCGAAACTTATAGATAAAAGAAGAGAGAAAAAAGAGTGGTGGGACTCAACCCTTTGTTATGTGTGTAAAAAAATTGTTTATCTCGTATAAAATAAAGGGTTTGATGTTTGTCATTTTAATAACATAAGTTATGTTATTTTAGGAGAGAGATAGACACAGAAAAACGAAAATCATGGGAGAGAGAAAGTAGGTGATTTTTTTTTAATTTAAAATTTAATTTTTCTGTGTCTGTATCTCTTTTAAAATGACACAACTTTCTATCATTTAAAATGAAAATCACTTTTTCCTAAATAAAATACACATAATCCTATTTCTTTACCACATGAGAGTTCTCATTATTATAAAAAATATTTATTTATTATACTCACATAAGAAAAAAGTGAGTTTCACTCACTTATTTATTTTTATGCGAGGATGATATAAATTTTTTTTTTTTTGCATTAAAACCATTATTCTATCTACCTAAAAAATAATTTTTCATGAGAACTAATGATGATAAAATAATTTAAAAAAGTTCATTTTAAGTATAATATCTCTTCAAATTAATAATTTTAGACTTGCATTTATAATTATATAGTTAAAGAGATTGCTTACCAAAAAAAGAAGAAGAGATTTTTAAAAAATAGATATGGCTTTGATTGTTCCGGGGATATTCGGCCTCCGAGAGGAAGAAAGGATCTTTCGAGATTGGGAATATTCTTATGAAAATTCTTATATCATACTGTTGTATGTTAATTACTATGTGAGTCTCATGTTTTTGAAGGTCTAGTATTTGAAACATCTTCCTAGTTATATCTAGCGAATCTTTTAAATAAACATTCTAAAGAATTAGAAGTTCTAATATACTGCCATGTGTGATTTGATCAAATTTCTTCTATTGTGATGGATTTGAATATTCGAAAAAGAACTAAAAGAAATCAAATAAAGAAGAAATAATTTATTTTGTATCTGTGTCTATTTATAGACATTAAAGAATTGAGATTTTATTAAAATTCGAGAATATTTATTTTAAAATCATTTCAAATTTTAACATGAAATATTCATTTCCATATTTAATATTTTTTAAAATATTAAATACCGCTTAATACTAATTTTCAAAAAAAAAAAAATTCTTACTCTCCACCGCTTTAAGATATTTCATAAGGAATATTTAATGCATTTTATTTTTGTTAAAAAATTAATTTTTAAACTTTCTTATACTTGAGAAAAACAAAGGAAAAACATAAAAGTACCAATGCAACAAAAATTTGTATTTATGTTAAATAATTTTTTGAATTCTTAATCAATTTACTTATACTTGTAGCAACTTCTAATGAGTAAATTCTGAAAATTATTAGTTTAGGAATTTTTTTACTAAAACACTGTTTTTAGCTTGAAATTCGCCAAAAAAAATTAAAAATATTAAAATGTCATGTAAACGGTAAATTTTGTCCAAATGTCATGTAACATATTTTGCTACATTGCGTAGCGAAATATGTGTGCAAATAATTCTCTACACGGTATAACGAAATATGTCACGTCAGAACCAAAAATGCCACGTGTCAAACAGGGAGAATTTCGCTACACTGTCTGACACATGACATTTTTGGTTCTGTGTATTCTGACGTAGCATATTTTGTTATACGGTGTAGCAAATTATTTACACACATATTTTGCTACATAATATACCCCGAGATATTTTGACAAAAGTTACGGTTGACGCAGCATTTTTGATGTTTTTTTTTTTTTTTACAAGAGTGGCAAATCCCTTGAAATTGCATGAGCAATTGACATTGTCAAAAAGTTTATAATGAATAAAAAATCATAAAACTCCCATATAAAATTACTTATCCCTACAGCATGCCTGAAGAACACGCCGATCGGAAAGAACACGCCGATGCGTCAAGGACAGAACAAAACTAGATTAGATACTAAGTGGGAGCAACATTTGTAGCTGTTCCTTGACCCTGTCTGAAATTCCAACTCAATAATCATAAGATTCATAACTAATAACCGATCACACTCACACACACATACACATATATATATCATCACCCAAAGTCCAAACCTTAAATCAAAACCCTTGCTAAAAAATGGCTGGCAGTGGCACTTTTGCAGAGATCATAGATGGTGATGTCTTCAAATACTACGCACATGGCCAGTGGAAGAAGTCCTCTTCTGGAAAATCTGTTCCCATCATCAATCCCACCACCAGGAAGACCCACTTCAAGGTCCAAGGTACATATTATATTACCCTTTTGCCCCTACCCCATCAAAACCCAGTAGTCTTCACCATCTCAATTCCTGTTGTCTACAAAATGAATAAGACACCTATAACGTGATATTGATATTACTGACTTAGTGTTTTGTTGATGGAATTCAAAAGTTATGGCATGATGATGATGGGGTGTTTTGTTTAGTTTTCTTTTTAAAGGTGCTGACTTTTGTTTCCACCATTTAGAATATTAATCCACTTTTATTGAAATCCAAACAGCTTGTACCCAGGAAGACGTTAATAGGGTCATAGAATCAGCAAAAACAGCTCAGAAATCATGGGCCAAGACTCCACTTTGGAAAAGAGCAGAGTTGCTTCACAAGGCTGCAGCAATACTGAAGGAGCTCAAAGCACCCATTGCTGAGTGCCTTGTTAAGGAGATTGCAAAGCCTGCTAAGGATGCTGTCACTGAAGTATGTACAAGTAGAAATTTTTAATTGACCAAGTGGTTATAAAGACTACTTTTTTACTTTCATGTTTACTTTTAGCAGTCAAGTTTTAAGCATATAACATTTTAGAAATCCTTAATGGGAAATTAGATGTTTGTGTTGTGCATGCTTCTGAAATTTGGACATTCGGGTCTTTACTATCACTATACTTTTGATCAACTTCTGTTTAAAATGTAAATGCTGTGATTTTTTATGTAGGTTGTCAGATCAGGGGATTTGGTGTCATATTGTGCTGAGGAAGGGGTGAGAATTCTTGGGGAAGGAAAATTTCTGGTCTCTGATAGTTTTCCAGGCAATGAAAGAACCAAATACTGTCTCACTTCCAAGGTATTTTGATCTACTCTTTTGAAGGTGGAAGTTCAAACCTTCTGTATAGGCATGTGAAAGTGGCACCTACCATTAACTAAGCTGTTTTTTTATTCTACAAGAAAAGTTGCAATGTCCAAATCTTCTTGTTATTTTTTTTTTTCCACCTTTCCCAGTGCAATGTTTCAAGTTTCAAGTTTCAACAGCAGCAATGATGAAGCACACAAAAATAAAAATAAAAATGAAAAACTGCAAATGTAAATAAGAGGCTGCAACTTTAGTTTTTGCATGTCTTAAACTTATGCTATACAAAATGCTTTAAAATATATATTGTATGAACCGATGAAATTGTGATTACTGTCTAGTGGCACTAGAATTCGTCCTGAGAATTTGCTGTGATTTGGCTTATCCAATTTTGGGAGAGACCTCCATACGACAGGAGTATGGTTAATGCCAATCCATAAATGATGTTAGACTTTGAATGAGTTAAATCTGCTTGTGTGTTAAATTATTGAGAGTTGGTTAGGGTGTTCAGAGTAACACATGTCAGCAACACATGAAATTTATTGCTTGCTGAGTTCATTGTTTTCTTCACCAGCTGACTAGTAATTTATTATAGTAGACTTTAAAACATGCTTAGTCTGGATATAGTGACTTCCTATTCAACAATTTATTTCACAATTAGAAGTTAACTGCAAGAGGTAACAATGAATTGCATTCCACTAATGGCAATCTGTTTGAATTTTGAAATGCAAATTGCTTTATGTTTGAACACTTCTTCATTGCATTATGGTTTTACTATTAAATAAGCAAAGAGAAAGACCACGGTCATGCCATCTCGTGTCACTTTTGACACATGTGCACCGCTATTTCATGTATAATAAATGTTTTTGGGAGGTTTTCAGGCATGTTCAAAATTGATTACTTTCTTTTGGCAGAAAATTTGAAAACAGGATAACTTTTAAATCTTCATATTTTTTTGTTTCTTTAAAATTGATTTCGGCTTCACTTTCCTATAATTATATAAAGGACAAGGATTACAAATTTGGATATCTTATGAAATGCAAAGAAAATAAATGAAGAGGGTTGGGGAGAATATAGGTTGCAGGATTGGCAATAGTAATTAGGATTCAAACTACTATTTGATCAAATTAATTTTCCTGTTGTGATTTCCTTCTGCAATATTTGTTTATAGCATATACTAGACTATTTATGCTCGTGATTATAAATAATATGTTACTTTGAATTATTTTCTATATGCAGATTCCACTTGGAGTTGTTTTAGCTATTCCGCCATTTAACTATCCTGTTAATCTGGCTGTTTCAAAGATTGCTCCAGCGCTTATTGCTGGAAACTCCATTGTGCTTAAACCACCAACACAGGTATGCAACTATTCATAGAGCATATACTCATTAATAATATATAGCTTTAGTATTATTTAATTTAAATAAAATCTCAAGTTCTAGATATATTTTGAATGGCTTTATGAGTCAGACAACTTGCATGGCTCTATATCTATGTTTTTACAGGGTGCTGTTGCTGCACTACATATGGTGCATTGCTTTCATTTGGCTGGTTTCCCGGAAGGTCTTATTGGCTGTGTG